TCTTCTTGAGGAGGGAGAAGCGGTAGCCGGCACCCACGAGCTCGATGTCGCAGCTGGACAGGGTGCTGCCCTCACTGGTGAACTGCACGGCCAGGGGGGCCGGGGCACTGGGCCCCTCCGAGAGCTGGAATCGGGCCAGCAGAGACCCCACACCTGCGATTTAAAAGTCCGGCACGAGACCCTTAGAAGCCCGGAGAGGCACAACGCGTGTCCCAGGGCCAGAGTCGCCGGCAAAGGCGATGAGATGCTCAAAGCCCTGCAAGGGAAGCCCACTCCCACGGCTGTACCCGAGCCAGCAGCATCCCCTGGTGAGGGGGGCACAGACACGAAGCCCCTCATCCTCCCAGCAGATTTTTAATTTTCAAACCCCTCAGCGATACGAAGCAGCTGAGCTGCGTAGGCGACACATGCAGGAGCAACCCAGGGTTCCCCTGACAGCCTGCAATTCCAGAGGGTCAACGGAGCGAAGGACTCGGCAAAAAAATCGCACCCGAACCCAGTGTGTTGATACCCTTCCGTGATGCCAAAGCGGTTGGCAAAACAGCAGCAGTGGCACGTATCCCTGCTTTGCAAAGCGCTCTGCTCCGTGCTGTAAACAGCATCCTCCCCGGCAAGTGCCAGCGGGATCCCGTGTGCCCGGACTTGTGTGCAGGCGTGATAAGCGGGTCAGTGCCGGAGCTAAGTACTTGGAGTTAGGAACACGCATGTTCATGGGATTACCTCCATTTTCCGACTTCTGAGAGATATCAGGGATCTTCCACAATATCCTTTGCTGCTCGGCGTTCCTAAAAACACATGAAGAAGAGCATTTCTGTAGGAAACAAGAAATTACGGAGAAGATATTTGAATTTCGCTAATGGCCGCGTGGGCTGGGGGAGCAGCTTGGGTGCTGCTTTCCAGAGCTGGAACTCTGGGAGCTTGGCTTTGGGTTTGACCCGAGCGGGAAAACGCCGCTTTTCCCTGCTGCAAACCTGCGCGCCGGTGCCTACGGCAGCGACGGCCGTGTGTCCCTCCGAGCTCGGATAAAAGGAGCCAAAACGCGGAATTTTGAACACGTGCGTTCAGCTCTGCCTGCTGAGCTGGTGGGAATGGCAAGAAAAAAAAATATTGGAGTGGGGTTGGATGTTTCCTCCTGCAAGAGGAGGCCAGATTCGGGTCCCCAGTGTCCCCCCAGCTCCCGAATCTCCCCAGATCCCGCTCTGGCAGCCGACGGGCAGGACGGCTGGTTTAGGCAGGGCCACGGCGGAGGTGGCAAACGAGCTCTCGGCGGGGCGAGCGGTGCCTACCAGACGGCAGGAGGAAGCACAGCTTGAAGTTTGGTTACTCCTCCGTCGACGGGGACGAGGAACTGGACGTTGTTTAGAGCGACCGGTGTGGTCATTGCCTCTGTATTGTATTTGTAGTCGATGCGGAGGTCAGTGCTTGCAGGGTCACACCGCCAGCTCACTGCAAGGTTTAATGGAGTAGACTGAATACCCTGGGCAGATACCTTCCAAAATGACAGAAAAAACATTTAGTTTCCGTAGGGGTGGAGGGAGAAATCCCATTTTACAGCCGCGGTAATTGCATTTGGGTTCAGAGGAGGCGACACCTTGTATTCTCACAGAAAGTTTGTACGGGGCTCAAAACGGGGCAATCTCGTGGCATACAGGGGGGGGACTGGGCAGACAACGTGCCCCCACCTCGCGTTATCTCCGCTCCGCGCTAGGGAAATACCGGCTTTTACGGCTATAATTAACGCACGCTTTTTTGGCACGGTTTTATCTTACAAAAAAACCCCTACCTGGTATTTGAGCATATCCACATTGTAATAGGTGGCTTGCGGTTTCTGTTCCGATACCTTCTTTAGGTGAGTCATCAGGTTTGGCATGTTGACCCAGAACTCCTTCGTGCTGGCGTCGCTCTGCGTGTTGTCACTGCACGGAGGGAGAATTAACCCTTCCCGTGAGCCGCCTCGGCAGGAGAAAGGTGTTCCATGAACCGCACGGGACAGCAGCGCCCGCCAGGACCGCGTTTGATCCCACGTACAGGGAATTATCGCGTCCCTTGCTCATCCTCCAGTACCTCCAGGAAGGCACAGCGGATGCAACCGGTGGGCTGTCTCGTTTTGCCAAGAGGAGGTCTAACGCGTGGAGCGAGGCAGCAAACAAGCAAACCCATCCGAGCACCCGCTCCTCCCCACTGGCACCAGTGCCTGGCGAAGGGGCTGCTCTCACAGGGAGCGCTCCAGCAGTTTTAGGGGTTTGAGGATTTCCTTCCCAAAATCAAGGCAGGCTGCCAAGGTGTTTCCACTTTTCTGGAAACTGGCCTTCCTTTGGGCTACTGGCGAGATGGGGGCTTACCAGCAGAGGAGCTGGGGGTTTGGCAGGACGTGCTCCAGCCTGTTGTAGTTCAAGACGCGGAAGGTGAGCACCGCCGGAGCGGGGTTGTTGGCAAAGTGTCGCGTGATGCCCGCTGGAAACGACAGCACCATCTCCCCTGTGATCTTCACGATGCACCTGCAGCGCCGGATACAGAGACCGAGGGGGAAGGAAACAGGGTGGAGGGGGCTCAAAACACAGCAGGAGGGGAGAGTTTGCACCAGGGAGGATGCAGTGACAGCCCCCCACTTCCCACCCACTGTGCTGAGGCAATGAAGCTCTTGTGGTCCCAAACCAGAGTGAGCTGGAACAGCAGCAAAGGCTGAGATGCCCCAGGAGCATCCTGACCCTGGCCCCCCTGCACCTCCTTCCCCCCTCCCCATCCCTCAAGATGCTCACCAAAGCCTCGACAGCACCCCATGCCCAGACCCTGGAACCCCCCACCCCATATCGACACCCAGACTCCATCTGTTGGCACCTACTTGTTTGGGTCGGCCCCTTTGAAGTACGCGTTGACGGTTTCCGTGAAGGCGGCAGCGACGGGCAGGGTGTCCTGTGCCCCCATGGTCAGGGGGCTGGGGCCCCGCGACGAGCCTACGACAGAGCAAAAACCTCCGTTTCCTATGTGTGGGGAGCAGCAGCACCACTTCCCCCCGGTGTGCCAAGAGCCGAGAGCCCCATCCCATGGGCAAAGGTTCGGAAAAAGCCCCCCAGGCTTTGGACGAGGCTTTAAAAATATTTTACGTAAAAATATTTTTTACATGGGATTCTGGGTGCAAAAGCCAGAAAATCCATCCGTGGTTTCCCTTTGCTGGCCAGAGATGCCTCTCCCTGAAAAATATTTGGGGATGAAAGCATCAGTGGCGTACACCAGAAGCCTGGAGTGTGCTGGAAATGGGGAATGGGGGGCAATGTCCCTCTCCTCGTGCCCGCTGCCAAGCGGAGAACCAGCAGGGTCTGTTGGCCTGGCAAAGCTCTCGCCTCTCCTCCAGGGAAACCACCAAAATATCAGCCTGGGATTGATGTCTGGTCGCCCACCCGATGTACAAGGCACCAATCCCCCGGGGCACCCTAAAAAGTCACCACCCCCTCCCTGGCACCACCAGTTCAGCCTGATCTATTCTTCCGCCACGCACTGTTTTGGAACCTTTTTTTTTTTTTAATCTCCTAGTCTGTCCATCAGCTTAAGGATTATTTTGCCCCAAACCACCTAAAAAAGAACGGCAAAAGTGTCCGGAGGGGCACCCCGACACCCTCTTACTCTGTGACCTCCATTGACATGGTCTGAACCGGGCAGGTGAAACGGGCCAGGAATTGAGCCCGGAATTATTTTCTTTTGTTCAGAGCATGCGAGCGTGTGCCAGCTTCAGCCGAAGCCATCGGAGACGGAACGCTGGCCCGGGGAAGGGCAGCACCTCTGTGGGCAGCGGGGGCGAGGGCAAAGCGAAGCGACCGAGCGAAATGCGGAGCGTTTTCGGGGAGTGCCCTGCTCTCCTGCTTGGATTATCTTCCAAAAGAATTCCCTCCCTTCTTCAGCCGCTGCTTCCCGCCGCTCCCTCGTGCTTTTTGCCTCCCCGCTACCAGTTTTGCACGAGTAAATAACGGGGTTCAGTGCAGGAAATCAGGATTTGTAAGGCGTCCTGCGGGAAGCGCTTCCGTCACATGAATGACACCTTGAGTTTTGGTGTGTTAATTGTGAAAAAATGTGAAAAAACGCGGCGTTCGCGGACGAGGAGGGTTCCTCACGCCTTACAAACGCGTCTTTGCGGGCAGCATGCCAAGGTATAAACCACGGTCGCTCCCTGCCGGAGGCACCGACGAGCCTCTCCAGCCCTGGGATTTTCCCTTGAAATGTCTAATGTCACCTAAAAGGGTGTAAAAAATTAACGAAGCCACGCGTCCCCCTCTCGGTCACACATCCTAAGAGATTTGGGGGAATAAGCGGGTTTCAGCCGCGGCCCGGAATAATGATGCTCAGTGAGTGCCACGCATCCGGTGCATCCGGCTGTCCCGGCACACGGGGTGGGCAGACCGGGCATCTCACCCGCACGCGACAGACCCATCGCCACGCACACGGTAATTATCCTAATGAACCCCAGGAGGCAGCACGTGGCTCCCCAAGCCTTCTGCTTCCAAGGGCATGGCCCTGAGCTACGGATGGGGGACTCGGCAAACACCCCGTTGGAGAGCAGATGCTCCGCGGCAGTGCCAGCGGCACGGGGAGGCACGGGCAGCCCCCCAGAACCCACCGCCCGCGCAGGTGACCGCGGCCACGGGGCAGCACCGTGGACTGCTAAGAGAACGTTATGTTTTTAACGAATTCTTCCCACGGTGGGCTATCAGAGAGCACAGCAAGCGTGTCCTTGCTCCCCGTGCCCAGAGCAACCACCCCCCTGGTGTGGCTGAACGCAGCGGGATGGTCTCGTGATGCCCACCCAGGGATACAGATGAGGTTTGGACCTGTCAGCACAGACCGGCTGTGGGGGGCTGAGGGTACCCCCAAGCAGAGTGACCGCGGGCTTCTCTCGGCGGGGGGGG